CTACAAGTTGCATTTGTCTCTTAGTTGCACTTGAATGTGTAAAACACTCAAGCTTGGCTTCACTTTACGGAACTACAGGATCAAGAGGATGAGGCAGCACAACAATGCACTAATGGCGCATTTCCACTGCATGTGATGACTCTGCTCGGTTTGCGTTTCCACTGCAGTTTAGTATCGCTTTAGAGTGGGCGGGATTATTCACATGTTGTTATAGCCGCGTCGCCCCATCATCAAGCTCGCTGGATCCACTCCTCTGCTATCAACGAGAGGAACGCCTGTATTTCCTCAACAGACAACGAAACAGACACTTTTTGGTTGTTAAAAAAGGTGCGCTCGTTCAAAACAGTTGCGTTCGATCCTTCGCTGGCTGTGCTGATTTAAATCTAGCGTTTCTGTTGTGTTTGTGTCGCAAGTTCAGTGACGCAGGTAGTGACGATTCTCTCCGGCCAATCCGTGATCAGCAGAGTTAACACGTCACGTTTTGGTAACGGTACGGTTCACTTGGAACCTCAACCGAGGTGGTACTAAAAAAAGTACCAGGTACCAGGTACTGTACCCAGTGGAAAACCCCCCAAAAGTGAACCGTACACTACATTTTCATTTCTAATTCAAACAGTGCGGGAAAACGCATGCACACTTTTATTCGCAATAACAAGTAGGTGAGAATTAATAATCCACAGATGATGAGCTTGTCTTTTTATCAAACTGTCATTCAACAAACAGTGCATGTGAATCTCCCCACAATTATTTCCAAAGTGAAGGAAGTGCCACAAGCTCATATGCTGAACTTCAGTTGCATAACACAGAGCTAAAGTGTGTAATTTTTCAATGTTAAAATTGCAATGTGCAGAAACAAAGCTGTAAGCCAGCCAATATGAGCTGGATTTCAGTAAAGAGTAAAAACACAGTGATACCATCAAACAAAACCAAGTCTGTTGAAACTTCCTCACCAGCCAGACACAGCAACATTGGTTCAACCATTGCGTTTGAGGCATGCCTACCTGATTTCCCCAGCCAGTAAAGTTTTTTTTTAAGCAGACTTTGGGAAAGCTATTTGTACTACACACCAGTGTGTTTAGGATTACAATAACAGATTAAAATAATAATAAATACCCATGTGCAACATCTTGCACCACAACAGCTAAAATAAGTGTAAGTGCCTCACACCAAAAGCCTTGCACATTCAAGGGCCCACTCGCAAATAACAATAAATAAATGCATGGATGAATAATTCACAAGAGAAAATAAACAGGGTGAATTTTGATTTCATACCGACTTTAAAACAGCCTCCTTCAACATCCTTACAGCAGACCTGTTGCATTTCTCAGCTCCATCCCCAAGTTAACTACATGACTCTGAGCACCTACACCATAGTAATTATTAATGGTGGGGGGGGGATGATTGACTTAGCATCACAATTTTTGCTTTCCAGAACTGATAATAACGCATCTTAAATTGCTTTATTTTAGTCCTTGCTTAAAAAAAAAATAAAAATAATGGACTGAAACAGTGGGGTTTAACTAGTGCTCCTCAATTTCTCATTTTAAATACATTTTCTTTAAAGTGTGATTCATATTTATAAACAAAGATATTTTAGTCAATGCTGTTTTCAGTTGATGCGTGAAAAAAAATGTCACTAAAGTCCAATCTTTCTCACACTGTCAATTTTATAATGAAATTCAAATAATAAACGTCATTTTGATGCTCTTTAACGTGGCAGGACAGATCGCTGTATCTGCCTCAGCTCAAGCGACAGCTTGGATCGCACGTGAACAGATCGTGTCTTCCTCTTTACTACTAGTTATTAGTGTTGGGCAATACGCTCCAGTCATAGCCTGTGAGATCGCCGATACACAATATCATCATGCTAATTTATTTACATAGATTCATAGCCGGAGAGTAAACAAACTCCAGTGTAAGGCTAAAAGCAGCCTAATGTTAGTGCGATCTATTAACTACACATTATATCTTTTTAGTCAAGTAGCTTATGGATGTCATGTCAAAATATTTTTAATATGACTGAATTTGATTTTTAACAATTTTGTAATATTATTTTTATTACATTTTCTTGAAACACAAGACTGACACATGTACATACCGTGTCTGTAACAATACTTACTATGTACAGAAAAGAAAACAAAACAAACAATCAAACACCAGGGACTCATATTACATAAAAAGTGTAAAGCACAAAACCAACAAAGGGTTAATACAGTCTGTACTTTGGAAGTTAGATTTAATAATCCATTGCAACCAATAACAACCGCCGTTGTAAGGGGTTAATATAATGCACATTTAAATATATTTAAATACCCAATCAAGAATTTTGATCCTCTATTATATTGTTAATAACCCTACATTCAATAAATAATAAAAATGGACTCCATATTTTTTTTAATTTAGCTTGTTTACCCTTAAGCATATAGGTTATCTTTTCCATTGCAATGCATGAAGATATTTCTCTTAACCAATGAGTTATGGTAGGCCTTTCTGTCTTTTTCCAATAAATGGCAATGAGCCTTTTGCCATGTAAAATGCACATATCTATCAATACTTGATTATCCTTTTTAATATTCCAATTTTCTGGATGAATGCCAAGAATGAAAAACCCTGGATCTAATGGTAACCTTATTGAAACCATATGCTCTATCATATTTCTAAGCTTTTTAACAATTTAACAGAAACATTGTAAGTAACTAATTATAAATGCTTACATTTCCTCAGTTATTCAAACAGCAGCTACAGAAAACGAATAAAGAAAATTTACATTCTCAAAGAACATCACTGACTTCAGTCTAGCGGGAGTTTATTATTCACAAAAAACAACTCTTATCATTAGTCTTCTCCACTAGATGTCACCCTTATTTACCTTGCGCGATGTTACAACAGCTTATCTTGGCCATACGCGTGATTCGTGATGCTCAGGTGAAGTGCTATAGTAATACTATAAATCTGCGGAAGCATCTGATATCACGCATGAGGCGCCATGATTTCCGCAGTGAATGAATGAATGGTGGATGGTGCGGTGCACTGTTTTGTTTACTACACACATACTAAAGCGCGGATGACGCTCGCGGTGTTTTCAGCTTCTGCCGTCTCACTATATGATGATATGAACACGAATGTCATCTCCAACTGCTCTGAGAGTCACTTCATTAGCATTTACCGTTTCATTTGAGAAAACTGCCGTCATATCACACACACAGCAGCTGCAAGTTCTTCACGGCAACCCGTCAAAATAAAAGTTTAGTTTAACATTCTACTGTCAGAATATATGACTACTTAGCAGTCTGAAGACTCAATGCTACTACTGCTAATAAATATGAATACATCTTTATTTTTAAAGGAATAATCACATCTGTTTTCTTTTTAATTTTAACAGTAAACCTCTGTTGTGCAGCACTTTGTTTGCCAAAAAATAAAAGGGTTTAATTTTCATTTGATTAGGTTAAATTAAATTAATGTTTTATGCCTTCATCTGATGACCCTATGATTATAATTTTTTTTAAAGGACACATACAAAAAAAAGTATAGGTTTAAAATACAGGCATGTGGCTTAATTTATTTGTATTAATTCACCATTTGTAAACTGATGTTTACTGTAAATGTTTTTAGAAATATTAATAGCATTTGTATTAAAACTATATTCACTGAATCGAGACATCTGAATCGATCCCCAGCCCTAACTCCCGTTATAATCAGTAACAACACACACTACCGTTCAAAAGTTTGGGGTCAGCAGATATTATCTCTTTCTATTTTTTTTTAAAAAGAAATTAATACTTTTATTCAGCAAGGATGTGTTAAATTAACAAAAAAGTGACAGTAAAGACTTATATTGTTAGAAAAGATTTATATTTTAAATAAACGCTGTTCTTTGTAACATTTTCTATTCATCAGAGAATCCTGAAAAAGGTTTCACAGGTTCCAAAAAATGTTTCTTCAACATTGATGATAAATCAGCATATTATACTGATTTCTGAAGATCATGTGACACTGAAGACTGGAGGAATGATGCTGAAAATACAGCTTTGATCGCAGCAAAAAATTATATTTTAAAGTACAGTATATTAAAATGGAACACTGTTATTTTAAATTGTAATAATATTTCACAATTTTTTACATTTTTTTCTGTATTTTGGCTCAAATAAATGCAGCCTTGACGAGCATAAGAGACATAAGAGTAATAAAAATCTTACTGATCCCAAACCTTTGGTCAGTCAGTGTATATATATATTAGGGCTGTGCGATATTGACGAAAAATGCGATATGCGATATGATAATGCTTAAAGTGCCACATGCTCAGATGAAACAGTTTTACTCAGCTGTTGCTGAGTTAGTTCTGTGAACTTCTATAACTATCTTGTGTCATATATATATATATGTTTTTTTGTATGCATGTATGTATGTACCAAGAGTTCCTGTAAAACCACAACAAATTCCTTGCGTTTGCGCACACTTAAGTGGTGAATAAAGCTCATTCTGATTCTAATATAACTAGCATACATCTTTCACTTTTTGTGAGAAGAAAGCACCCCCTACAACAACTTCTGAAAGTGAACGGTATGTGTTTTACTCTAGCATTACATAAAAATGTCATTTTAGCATTTACTCTATGAATTCAATATGCACTGCTTCTTACTTAAGCTACAAAAGTTATTTAGGTAAGAGCACTGAGTGATTTTCTCTGTGTCTTTTGTTCTTGGCCCCAAATATTGCAAGCTGTAGCGATATGCATATTGCGATAATTTCGATATATTGCACAGCCCTAATATATATCCTAAAAAAGTGGGTCGCGGCTTGATGACAATGGGAAAATGTGGGTACCATGGCCAAACCAGTTGAGAATCACTGACATAAATAATACTTAGATCAGCAGTTTAAGCATGTGCTAGTGTTTTACAATATGGACTCTTAATTGGTAACATTTCAATGTATCAAACAGCTCAATATATTAGTTTCAGTAACGTGTTTGCATTTGTCACGACTCTAGCTCTCACCTTGAGTCGTTTGACGACTTCATCGTTGCTGATTTTGTCAGTGATCTCTTTGACACCCAGCGGGTAGATGATCTTTGCGTCCCCCGCCGGTCTTTGCTGCTGAGGCTGCTGCGGGAACTCCATCATCTTCCTTCTTCAGACAGACAGACGGTCCTCTACTGGCCTCTATAGGCGACAACACTGAACTTCAACACACGAGCCCACCACACGGCTACAAAAACACTAAAAAACACATTATGCGCGCCAGTCTCCAGGTCTCTGGGCGTGTAGCTAACCCCCTTAAAACCGTGGAATGACCTGGAAACCTCATAGACGATATTTTGCGGGAAAACCCCGAATAAAATCACGAAGCTTACTAGCCTGAGTGCTAACGAGACCCGCGCTTTTACTCCAAAACGCACTGCTATCTATGCATTCAAAACCACCCTGACAGGGGGCTCCACATAGTATGCACGTTCTGACATAATCGTAATACTTGGATAATAAAACATCGTTTAAAAGCACCTCAGGGAGTAAAAGAGCTCTTTGAGAGGCTAACGGCCTAGCCGTCAGCTAACTACAGGCCTCAAACTATTCAACAAACATCCAGCCAACACTCACATTTACTTATTAAAATCACACCCCGCCGCTTCCTGATACCCAAAAAGCATTTATTCCACATATCTCACTCCACACCGCCCGTTATCCTAACTTTAGACGGTAAGAAATCTGAATTGTTTACTTGTTTTCTCTGTATAAGTTCACTCAGCGAGGTAAACGGCGATCACCAACTTGATCATCCCACACAAACCGTGTGAATTAAACTCCGTCGAGCGACCCCAGTCGCCTCACAACCGCCTATTAACCATTCCCCGGTCATTACCTCACAGACAAGTCGTTTTAATTCATGAGTCGGGTTCGGGTGTTTTTTTGTAGTTTCGGACACAAAGCTCCGTCTCTTTCATTCCGGGCTGTGTGAACGTCCTCGCGCGGAAAGTGGAGGCGCAGCGGCCCCTCTGGCCGAAAGACGGTACTGCAGCGCACCGATGGAGGGAGAAACATTACCATACAGGATGGAAAAGCAACGGCACCAAACATAATTTACCGTAAATGTTAGAGAAGACACGCCTCTACATTTGGTTTGCCTTTGTGTGAAAGCATGGCCGTTTGAAAATTAGTGAGGTCTGGGGTGGGGTTAGGAATTGTGCAATTATAACACCTACAACTGTAAAAAATAAGTGTAATTTTAACTGTAAAATTTCGTAAAAACGCTACGGGAAAAAAACTGTTAATAGGTTAACAGTAAGTTCCCGTACTATATACAGGGAAAAACTGTAAAATACCTAACCAGACATTTCATGTAATTTTACAGTAAAATGCTGTTAACTTTACAGTTTTTAGAAGTACAAATAACAAATCAATGTATAATTTACAGTTAAAAAGTGTAAACTTGATATTCCCTGCATGACACTCGACATTTGAAAGTCTTTTGTTTAATAGGGGTGACCGCGCATTTGATATTTCTGAAGGATTTTGATTTGCAACTTTTAAATCCGCCTTGAAAACTTACCTTTTTTTCCATGGCTTTCAATATCCCTTGACTCATATTGGCATTAATATCTTTTGATTCTAGCCTTTCTCCACTATTTTATATTCTTTTAGGCTTTTATTTATTTTTATCTTACTTTTATTGTTTCTCTAGTGCTTGAATGCTTTGTGTAATGTTTCTTTTAGCCTTGTAAAGAACTATGGTCAACACCAGTTGTTTTTAAATGTGCTATACAAATAAACTTGTATTGTATTGTAAGCAAATATCCTGATACTCCAGTCCAGTAGGTGGCGGTAGTGCACATTAGGTTGTGAACCGCCAATAAACACTAAACGAAGAAGAAGTTGTTGTTCTTCTGGTGTTTCTTGTACTTTCCTTCTTGTGGTAAAACTTGTAAACAGTGGGTTTGTGGTCGGTGTGTCACAGCAGAATGCCAAAGAAAAGGAAAAACGGACTGAGCCCCTCCCGAGCGGCTGAATACGGCAGCGGCTCCGAAAGTGGAGCACACGGGGCGAGTGGCTCCTCTGTGGCCCGGCTGGACTCCTCAGATGACCGCTTCGGATCCACGCAGTTCAGGAGCGTTCAGCTGGAACCACAAAGCCGAGACGAAATCGTCCAGAGCATGCAGGAGATGTTTTCACATCTGGACCCCGATGTCATTTACATGGTGCTTTCAGAGGCAGATTTTAAAGGTAGGAGGCTGGCTGTGATTTTGCATGTGTCAATCATTTACAGGAAGGTATTTTGGAACATGCATATGGTTTCTTATCACGTTCCAAAGCCAGCATTCCATCCTTTACCTGGTTGACCAACTAGTAGCAGGTTTATTGCTGGTGGTCAGAGATGCTTGGATCTCCTAATGGCCATCCTAAACCAGCTACATGTACCAAAAGCTTTTATGCAGTTACTTGATGTTATTATATTTTCGAAAGTGGAGCACACGGGGCGAGTGGCTCCTCTGTGGCCCGGCTGGACTCCTCAGATGACCGCTTCGGATCCACGCAGTTCAGGAGCGTTCAGCTGGAACCACAAAGCCGAGACGAAATCGTCCAGAGCATGCAGGAGATGTTTTCACATCTGGACCCCGATGTCATTTACATGGTGCTTTCAGAGGCAGATTTTAAAGGTAGGAGGCTGGCTGTGATTTTAGCATGTGTCAATCATTTACAGGAAGGTATTTATAATAACCTGTTATTGTTTTGGAACATGCATATGGTTTCTTATCACGTTCCAAAGCCAGCTTTCCATCCTTTACCTGGTTGACCAACTAGTAGCAGGTTTATTGCTGGTGGTCAGAGATGCTTGGATCTCCTAATGGCCATCCTAAACCAGCTACATGTACTAAAAGCTTTTATGCAGTTACTTGATGTTATTATATTTTCTATTTAAAGGAGACTTATTATGCCCCTTTTTACAATATGTAATATACATCTCCGGTGTCCCCAGAATGTGTCTGTGAAGTTTCAGCTCAAAATACCCCACAGATCATTTATTATATCATTTTTAAAAATGCCTATTTTGAGGGGGAGCAGAAACACGCTGTTTTTTGTGCCTGTCTCTTTAAATGCAAATGAGCTGCTGCTCCCCGCCCCCTTTTCCAGAATAGAGCAGCTCAGACCTGCTAAAAGCATCTGTTTTGGTTCTGATTATCATGTTTGTCGCGCTGAAATCATGCGCTTTAAACCATATTAGTTTAAACTTCCGATATACGGTTTTCTGAGCGCACACGCACAGAAAGCGGCTCTCGCAGCATGCAAGTACTAAACTAAGTTCTCATTCACACACAAGTTTTCTTTAAAAACACACGAGTTACAAAAGAACAGTCGGTTATGTCTGTGAAGGTAAACAGCTTCTAAATCAAAATGACGGCGCCGTGGGTGTAAACTTACAGATTAAGGGGCGGTAATATTATAATGAGATCCCTTTGCCACGTCACTAGGGGAGGCGCTCGTTTTCTCAGACGCTTGCAGAAAAAGGCTTACCAAAACAAAGTTACTGGGTTAATCTTTTTCACGTTTCTTTGGTCGGTAGATGCACCGGGGACCAGATTATAGCATAAATCATGCGCTTTAAACCATATTAGTTTAAACTTCCGATATACGGTTTTCTGAGCGCACACGCACAGAAAGCGGCTCTCGCAGCATGCAAGTACTAAACTAAGTTCTCATTCACACACAAGTTTTCCTTAAAAACACACGAGTTACAAAAGAACAGTGGGTTATGGCTGTGAAGGTAAACAGCTTTTAAATCAAAATGACGGCGCCGTGGGTGTAAACTTACAGATTAAGGGGCGGTAATATTATAATGAGATCCCTTTGCCACGTCACTAGGGGAGGCGCTCGTTTTCTCAGACGCTTGCAGAAAAAGGCTTACCAAAACAAAGTTACTGGGTTAATCTTTTTCACGTTTCTTTGGTCGGTAGATGCACCGGGGACCAGATTATAGCACTTACAACCTGGAAAAGTCAGATTTTCATGATATGTCACCTTTAAATTACACTGGTCAAAATGATTCTGTGGTGAAGTAAATACTACAGAAAAACAAAAGTAATTCTAAAAGAATTAAAAAAAGAAAATTTTATATTAGTACTCATTTTAAGCTTGTAGAAGGTAAAGCTTAAATATCATAACTCCTGTAAAACCTATTCAACTTTTCTGATGTTCCCATCATGCACTGGGGCATGAATAATTAATGTTTTTATTTATTTTTTTAGCTTTTTTCCAGCTGTATTTACACTGTTTTATCATTGCTTTTATTGTTAGGTTTAGCAACTTACGATTTTGTTACATCTTGAGTTCATTTCTACTCAAAATGACACATTCATACTCAAAAATGAACCTGTCACTGTGTATTGTGTACCATACTGAAGTCTCGGATGAGTGCCGCTTTACTAATTATGTAGATATGGTGTCTACATGATATCTATTGTATTAGTTACTTAGATGTTTCTGAGTAACATACACTTTAAAGGTCCCATGGCATGAAAATGTCACTTTATGAGGTTTTTTAACATTAATATGAGTTCCCCTAGCCTGCCTACGGTCCCCCAGTGGCTAGAAATGGCGATAGGTGTAAACCGAGCCCTGGGTATCCTGCTCCGCCTTTGAGAAAATGAAAGCTCAGATGGCCCAATCTGGAATCTTCCCTTTATGTCGTCATACGGGGAAAGGTTACCTCCCCTTTCTCTGCTTTGCCCGCCCAGAGAATTTGGCCCGCCCATGAGAAAATGAGCTACTACCGTGCGAGGCGAGCGCAATATATTTTTTTCCTCGAGAGACATCATGGCTTGCAAACGAGCGAAGCATGGCAGTTGCCCCGCCTCTCTCCTCCTCATTAGCATTTAAAGCTACAGACACAGAAATGGCACGTCCTAAGGAAAGCTCATTGTGGGACTGGCTCGTAGTGGCTCAAATTCTGCACCAATGCTGAATTTCGGGAAAGAGACTTCAGATACAGTACTAGGGACCACTTAGGCCTATATAAAAGCATCCAAAAAGCAGCATGTCATGGGACCTTTAAAAGCATGGCTTAATTAGGTGCTATATTGAGTAAAATCAAAGTATTGCCAAGTAAGCTTTGACTAAAGTAAAAATTACGCAAACTTTTACTGGCCAAGCTAAAGTTTCTTATTTTCTTTGTTAAATTTACTTAACTTGGGTAAGTAGATTTGACTTAATTCTATATGTGAAATTAAATATAATTCAGTAATATTTACTTAATTTCTTTATGAATGTTAAGCTCAATAGTAAGTAGACTGTACAGAGCAGTAGCAGTAAAATTTTGTTTATCAAGTAAATCCTACAAGTTATTTTTTTCCAGTGTGTTATTATATTAATTTTAAACTTGAGAAATCGTGGGAGTTGACATTGTCACAACGTATGATATGATTACAATCTTAAAATGAAAAATGACATGCACTAAAAGGCTAGGATAATTAAGTTTTTTATGTTCATTGTTTTATGAAATGCATGTCTCAGGCTCACCACGGCTGCATTTATTTGATCAGGAATACAGCACAAACAGTAATACTGTGAAATATTATTGCAATCTAAAATAACTGTTTTCTATTGCAATCTAATTTACAGTTTAATTGGATCTTGTATTGGCTATGCTGAAGTTTTAGAAGCCATTATTTCAGTCTTCAGAAATCATGCTGATATGGTGATCAATTATTAAAAATGGCTTTTATTGTATAGTTTTTGCTGCTTACTATTTTAAATAAATGTAAATGTTTCAGGATTATTTGATTAATTAAAAGCTTAAAAACAACATCATTGGAATATTTTGTAACATTATCATTGCCTTTACTATCACCTTTGATCAATTGAATGCATCCTTCCTGAAAGTATTCATTATTTTATTTATGTATTTTAAATCTTACTCCTTCCAAACTTTTGAAAAGTTGAATGTTTCTACAGAAATAAGCAGCAACAAACACTGTTCTCAACATTGATAATTAGACATGTTTCTTGAGCATTGCTCTTTAGTGTTCATGTGACACTAAAGAGCAATGACTGCTGAAAATTCAGCTTTGCCATCACAAGAATAAATGTAAAATATATTTAAGTAGAATTTATTTTTATTATTTAAATGGTAATAATATTTCACAATGTCCTTAAATACTGCACACATTTAAAAAAAAAGAAAATTAAATTAATTTTTTTAATTTTTAATGTTTTCTTGTTCATCTCTCTGCATTAGTGGACAATGCAATGGATTCTCTTTTGGAGCTGTCAGACGCTGCTGAGGGCACAGCCCCACCCCCTCCTCCGGTCTCAGGGTTTGAGCAGGCTGCCGCTCTCCTGGGAGCGAACATCACTCAGGCAGCGCAGAGCTTCGCCTTTTCAAACCAGCCTGCATCACAACCGGAGCTCAATCCTTCTGAAACACTCCTTACAGAAGAGTTTGATGCTCTCATAGATCAGGAACTTCAAACGTTGACGGCACAGCAGACTCAAACCATGTCCTCCATACCTCTGTCTTCTCTGCCCCCTCCTTCTCAATCGTTCCCTCTGTCCTCGCTGCCTCTTACATCCCAGACTCAGCTTCCAGCTCCTCAGACTTTACCAGAGCAGGCCTCTTACTCTGATCCCGGGCTCAGTGAGGCCCGTGGTGGTAGTTCACCGGTGAATGAATTAAGTTTTGGTGGGGCTCATATCCCAGAGACCAAAACCTTATCTGTTGACTTCAGTCACCTAACACTGGAGGCCAGCTCTACTGGACCAAGACCCTCAGCATTTCAGGTGTACCGTAGACCTGATCAACTCCGTAACCACACAATGTCAAAGCAGCATCAAGAAGCTCTCAGCACACCTGCCATGTTCTGGAACACTCAGGCTGCTGAGTTTCATCCCCGCGCTGTGAGGCCTGCCTTCATTACACCTGTCATTCCTAACTCCACACCATGGAGCTCTAATGCCATCCCTGCTGCTCAATGGTTGGCTCATGGACCTATCAGACAAGCACCTCTGAAACCTTCTGCAACTGTACCGAAGTCATGGACTCTGCCCTCCAGGAACAGGCTCAAATTAGAAGGGCAGGTGTTGGTGTTACTTCGAGGGGCTCCTGGATCAGGCAAAACCACCCTTGCCAAGTATGCAAAAATCTGGGATGTGTGTTATTGTATTGAAAAGAGATGGAATAGCATAGGAAATCCTTTCTTTTTTGGTATTTTACATTGCACAAGAAGAGAGACCATAGCGTATAATGTTCATTGAACAATTTAGTTCATGACATACAACACTCTATTATGTACAGGAAATAGCTTTCCTAAGTTATATTAACTTTTTGAGTCTTGAGTCCTTAATATTATTTTAGATTGATTGTCCTTAGGTACGCTTCATGGGTAAGAATTTTGCCATGTGGTGGTGTCAAATTTTCTTATTTTGATGATAGTTGAGGCTTTTTTTTTTATTGAGGTCTCTGTTTACTTTTTTTAAACATCAGATTGGCCTTTGACAAGAACATTTAGGAAACCAAATGAAATTCGAAATAGTACAATAAATAAACATTACGTAAATATTTGAACCTCCTGTGGAGCTTAGTTCATTTATAAAAATTTTAGCATGCATACTGTCAAAGCAGTAATGCATGATAAGTATCAAAGTATGCCGTAGTGAATACCAGCACATACTGTACATTGGCCGTATTTAGATTTTGAGATTAAGCACACTGGCAGATAACTAAACTGACTGATCAGAATTACACTGACCACTCTGCTGTAGGGTAGCTTCATAGATAAAGTGTCTTCGTTTTGTCTCTCTCTGTTGTCCAGTGCTATGTTGGCGCAGAACCCTGGAGGGGTTGTTTTAAGCACTGATGCTTATTTTACTCGAAATGGAGAGTACCACTTTGAGCCCCATTTACTAGGAGAGGCCCACGAGTGGAATCACCAGAGAGGTGAGTATTATAGGCCTGTTTAGCTCAAACCAAAGCAAAATGTCTGGTGTGTACAATTAATTGCAGTTATTGCCCTTTGTGTTAAATTAATAGACTGTATAGAAACATGGACGTAGTGTCCGTGACGTCACCCGTAGGTTTCTGAAGAGCGGTTTTGAAGCTCAAAGTGGGCGGAGCCAGCCGTCGCCATCTTGGCCGCGCGTCACTCCCGGATAATCGAAAATGGGCAAAGAGGCGGGAGCTGGTTGCTGAAACCACGCCCACCTAGCTCGACGCCGGTGACAGCAGCGGCAATCCACCTGTCACTCAACCGGCCACGCCCTTAATTATGCAGAAATTTAAGGCATAATATAATTTAAACGGATGAGTTATAAAAAAAATTCACCCCCCTCACAGTTGTCATGAAGGGCAAAATTAGCTATATAGACCACAATAATTTTTTGTACCAGGCTGTAAACATTTTTTTTTCTGCTGTAAAGTTGCGCATTTTAACATGGGGAGTCTATGGGACTGACTCCCTTTTGGAGCCAGCCTCTAGTGGCCAGTCGATGAATTGCAGTTTTAGTCACTTCCGTGTTGGCTTCACGAGAGAGTGCGGGAGGTTGCCGCTTGGTTAAATTATTAAAAAGTGCAGTAAGCGATTATTAATAAACACTGTTGAAAGTGGATCGGACAGAGCACCAAAACACACGTGTAGCCAATCACCAGTAAGGGGCATGTCCACTCGTAATGGGGGAGGTGCCTGTGCTGCATAGTATGTTTGTGAATTTGGAGGCGGAGCTATCAGGATAGGGGTGTGATCCTTTTGGGTAGTGGTTTGTTTTGATGAAATATAGTACTAATAAAATATAGTAAAATTGTTTGTTTTGGTCAAATATCAATCACTTACTGCACCTTTAACTACACATTGACTACACAGTTAGATCTTTTTCAAAATTGACTACCTATACCAGCTTAATATGCTGAAACAACTGTAAGTCAGCCATTTGGATGATCATTTCCATGAAACTGTAAACTCTCCAATTTCATGTCGCTGTAAACACACACTTGATTGTTTGAGAGACATTGGCTCAACCAGTAGTGTGAGTTTGGTGAGGGACTACAAATTGGACGACAGTTTCAACAGTGTTTTGAAAACAGACATTATTTACGCTATTCTGCTGATGGCACATACACGCTTCACCTTTAGTCTTTATATAATCTTTCTGCAATTTCTTTTTGGTGATCAACATTTCAGCAAAAGAGTCTTTCGGAAAAGGCCAGTCACCCATCATAATAGACAACACCAATATGCAATGTTGGGAGATGAAACCATATGTTACTATGGTAAGCAAGTTATTTTGAAACAAGTTATTAATGTTTCATATCAAACAGTGTCCATATTTTGTTTGTATTGTTAAAAATCAGTTGTGAATTTTATTTTAATACGTATATCATACTACACAATTATACATTGCTATAGATATTATTCATTGGTTTAACTTTAGAATATTCCATACATGACAGTGTGCACACAAACAGATTCACAAAAGTTAATTGTGCTGATTGTAGGCCTTCTTTTTCCTTCTCGTAGGCACAGAAACACAGATATAGGGTGCTGTTTCGTGAGCCAGATACCTGGTGGAAAACTAAACCCAGAGAGCTGGAGAAGTATGTTAAACATAACCTCAGACTAGAACTAACTATCTTTACTACACATTTCGAACATAATCCATAAACTCTTTCTGTTTTGCCCTCTTTATGAAGGCGCACAAGGCATCAAGTATCAAAAGAGAAGATCCGACGCATATTAGAAAGGTATGACCGATTTGTCTCTGTCCAGAGCATCATAAATTCACAAAGACCGGAACCGGTGCCAAGTGTTTTGGATTTGACCCAAACAGAGACTGAGCAACCCCAGTGAGTATATGCATTATAAATACTTTACAGTATTTATGTTGTGTTTCAAAATAAAATAAAAAACATGAGCTATGTTCACACAGCAGCAGAATATGGTTGTTCAGGACAATTTGAGTGTTAGTAACTATGAAAACACTGATTGTGTGAAGCCATACAATTTTTTAATGTATTTCTCTTATTCCCTTCAGGCAATCTTTACCCCCTGGCCTCAGCCATCCTGATCTTGTTGGAGACTCCGGGTTGAGCAAACTGAACACAAACCTTTCCTCATCTCTGCCCGATGTGTCCTCTGTTAGCCAGACTTACAGTACCAAATCTGCAGGTGAGGAAGAAGGTGAAATAAGCTCCCACAGTTCCAAGGAATCCATGTTGTTCCGTGAGAACATTCTTGAAGGGTCTGGAACACCTCAGTCTGATCTGCTCGATGCCGAAGGGTTAGACTTAGAGCTTGATGCCTGCCTTGCGGACACGGAAAAAGAATTGGGAAATTTGAGTTGCTGGACAACTGAAGAATTTGTAGCTTCAGCGCATGAAACGTTTCCGGAGCTGCCTGTGGCGTTTTCAGAGTCCATTGCTCAGCGTGTGAGGAGGGACAGAGTAAAAGACAGAAATGTCCTAGGAACTAGTACCGTGGATCAACCTGTGAACTTTGACCCCAGGATTGATTCCTCAGGACAAGATAAGGAGGAGGGATGTGAAGTTGAGTCTGAAGACAAAGGTGTGAGGCCAGAGCTGTTGGATTTTGTGGGGGACTGGCCACTGGAGTCTCAAAGTCAACGTCAAGGAAGACGTCAGAATTCAAGAAATAACACACTTAAGAACACTGATTTGGAATCCAGTGTTGTTGAACACAAAGATAACACTTCTGCTGATGAAGACAAGCATTCTGATACTGAGAAGCTGAATACAGTTGAATTTCAAAAACTTGTAGATCTACTGCAAGGTGGAGTAAACTCTTCTCTCCAAGCTCCAAGTAAACGGGCTACTCTGCATTCCCCTTCCTTTGGTGGAAAAGAGAGTAACTTGAACCTGGAGACTATGGTTTGGCCTGAACTCCCTGACTGTGTGCTGGAGAGAACGTTCTCAGAGTGCACTGACTCATGCAAGGATTATTCAAGTCCATCGAAACAGAGAGCAGACCCAACTGAGCGGTCTACTCCGGTGTCTGCTGAGAAGCGCACACAGGATGCGGTTCAGCAGGAGGACAGTGTGTTGTCAGAAGAGAAATGCAGATTGAGCCCAAATGTCCAAGAAACTCTGTGTTCGAAGGTTGTCGTAGATTCAGAGAGCAGTCTGGAGAGACGGAGAGGGCTTAGCAGGAGAGTGGGGAAATCTTGTAAACTGGCACTTACCTTCACCAATCAAGGCCCTTTGTCGCCTTGCTCACAATCTCCAGCTATTTTGCATGAGCCCACTGATCTCGCACCTACAGGAGAACCACCTTCATTGCCCGTGGTGTTATGTTCCTGTGCCTCGACCCAAACACAACCTCAGGACTTTGCCTTGCTTTGGAGAATTGACCAGCAGAAATGTTCTGAGTTAGACTCTAACTTATCTAGTAGTGGTGTGTTTGTTTCGGAGGGAAACTCTTTGCGTTTCACCCCAAAAACAAATGAAGAGCAGTCTGCCTGCCAGCGGGGAGTGCCGTACTGTGTGGTCCATGAGAAGGGTTCTCAGGTGGAAGAGAACGACTTTAGAGAATCTCACTCTAAAAAGCAAAACCTCGAGATTCTGAGCCACCATTTCAGACGTGTCTCCATGGATAATCTGGAGGACCTTTATGAGAAGTGCCATCAAGATATTGAGTGGACAACTAACTTGTTACTAGATTCTGGAGAAAGACTGTCTAAAGAAGATTATGAGGATGACGAGGTTGACATGGGGTCTTTGGTTCCTGGGGAAGAGTCATGTGAACTATCTATAAAACCATCAGAAACTTTGATGGGCTCAGAAAGTGACTCTAGTAACAGGTCAGCAAGTAGCATCAGTCCCAAGTTTCAGGAATCTAACTTTAGTGATGTTAGCCAAGCTGATGATGATTGGAGTCCAGGTCTAAGTTCACAAAGCGAAGCTGAAGGATCTGATGAGGCGAGCATGACAATGAAAAAATGTGAGCCCAAAACTTCCTTTGCGATAGAAGGCACTAAAGTACAACTGGAGGTTACAGCAGCTAATGAGGAACAGCCAGACAAAACAGGTCCAGGGCAGGAAGAGGCATTAGAGACACAAGGTGAGAACGTTGTTCAGTGCCTTGAGGGAGCATTGAAGGAAGGGAGCGAAGAGGAAGAAAAGGAGGATGAGGAGACAAGAACCGAGGTGAATGCCATAACTCAGTCACTGCTGTGTCAGGTTGACGAAATGGAGCGCAAAGAGGAGGAGGAGAGGAAGGAACGAGAAAGGGAGAGAAAGAGAGCCGGACAGGGGGGAAGAGAGCCAAATTCAATGGATATTCAAACCTTGGAGCTGAAACTTCCGACTGAACTTGCATTGCAGCTCTCTGAGCTTTTTGGACCTGTTGGGGTCAGTCCAGGTAATAAAACATCTAATCAATATGCCGTATAAATCATTCAGTGAATCAGTCAATCATTCCAGTGACATGGTGTCGACCCAAAACAATACAAAACCCATAACATTGTTTTTAATGTAGTGTGGGTCTATATTTTTTTCAAACCTTGGGGAGTTTCGTTCATGGTTTTTGCATGACCTACCCATAATGGAATTTCCCCAATTTCGCTTCCTTCTACCAAATGACAAATTAATTTGCTACAAAATACTGTAAAGTTTAATTGGACCCACAATCTTTAACAACAACAACAACGGATACTGGGAAGTGTTTTGTCTTCTTTTAAAAGTTGATACCGGTTTATTTTGCTGTCGTAACTATTTGATTATGTGGTTAGTTTAATTTTATAATTTTCCATTAAGCATTGTTGTTTCCTTGCTGTCCATTATCCTATTAGAACAGAACTGTCAACACGACCAATTGAGAACCACTGCACTAAACTATTGTGTTCCCATTAAAAGCATTTCAGCTTAAAGGGATAGTTCACCCAAAAAGGAAAATTCTGTCATTAATTACTCACCCTCATGTCGTTTCAAACGCGTAAGACCTTCGCGTTCATCTTCGGAACACAAATTAAGGTATTTTTGATGGGATCTGAGAGCTGTCCGACTCTGCATAGACAGCAATACAACTGAAATGTTCCCAAGTCCAGAGACATAGCAAGGAGATCTGTAAAATAATCCATGTGACATCAGGGGTTCAACCGTAATTTTACGAAGTGTGCCACAGCTGACAACAGCATACGCGGTTTACGTCCAGCTGATATTCTCCAAAATGGCGCTACAGGGTGACGGGGAGAAGACAAATTGTTGAATAAAGTCTTTATTTTGTTTTCTTTTGTGCACAAAAAATATTCTCGTAGCTTCGTAAAATTACGGTTGAACCCCTGATGTCACATGGATTATTTTACAGATCTCCTTGCTATGTCTCTGGACTTGGGAACATTTCAGTTGTATTGCGGTCTGTGCAGAGTCGGACAGCTCTCAGATTCCATCAAAAATATCTTAATTTGTGTTTCCGAAGATGAACGAAGGTCTTACGGGTTTGAAACGACATGAGGGCGAGTAATTAATGACAGAATTTTTTTGGATGAACTATCCCTTTAAAGGTAGTCTAACAGATTTATTTTCAGTCTGATTCCAGTTTTGTTTTTAATACAGTGATATGAAAAGCTCTTACTTTGAAATTAGTAACCACATCAGTGCTCATTCACGCTCATGAAATCGTTGTAAAATCTCTTTGAAATCCATATGATTGCAGGTGCGTTTTCATCAGATGACTGTGCAGTGCAGATAGACCTGAACTTGGCCAAACTGCTGCACCAGAAATGGAAAGAAACTATTCAAGTGAGATATTTTGATATTATGTTTACAGTTTTTGGATATTAACTTGCAAAAAAAACCAGCATTTTTTATTTATTTATTTTTATTCTGAATTGATGTAAAACTTACCTGGTGTCTGTTGTCTTTGGCAGGAGAAGCACAGACAGGCAGCTCTGTCCTATCAACTAATGCAAGAGAGTGAGACCGCTTATTCTCTCAATACACACAAACACAGAGAGAATACTAATGTACAGTGGGTATAACATCCAACTGAAAGATATAACACCAACATGTCAGAAAAAAAAGTAAAGTTTGGACTATTACTGAGTTGGAAAAAGGATCAGCCCCTTGTGTCAGTATTTTGTTGAAGCACCTTTTGCTTTAATTACAGACTTAAGTCTGTTGGGATTTGTCTCTACTAACTTTGCACATATAGACTTTGCAATATTTGCCCACTCTTCTTTGCAGAACTGCTCAAGTTCAGTTCAATCTGATGGTGAGTGTTTGTGGACTGCAGTCTTCAGGTCATTCCACAGATTTTCAGTGGGGTTTAAGTCTGGACTCTGACGAGGCCATGCAAGTACGTTTACCACTTCTTCCCATTGGCAACTTTCTGGCAGAGAGCAGCAGATTTTCCTCAAGAATTTGACGGTATTTTGCCCCATCCATTTTTCCTTCTATCCTAACAAGAGCTCCAGTCCCTGCTGCAGAGCAACTCCCCATAACAGGACATCACCACCTCCATGCTTTACTGCAGGAATGCTGTTGTTTGGATGCTGAGCTGTATTGGATTTCCACCAGACATACTGTTTCGTTTGGTGTTGAGGCCAAATAATTCAGTTTTGGTCTCATCTGCCTCAGAATCTTCAAGGTGTGTTTTGGCAAAGCTCAGTCTGACTGCATGTGGCCTATTAATACTTAATATTTATTAAGTCTACAGTATATTTTATATCTACAGGTTTATTTTATTCTTATTTTTTTAATCTTACTTTTTCCATACCTATATTTATATATAATTTTCTTGTGTTTGTATTCTTTAATAATTGCACTGTCCATGGAGAGGACCTGACTTGCATTTCACTGCTGGTCATATATTCTCTATATAATCATGTATGTGACAAATAAAAAATCTTGAATCTTCCTTGAGGAGTGCCTTTTTTCTTGCAACCCTCCCATACGAGCCACATTTGTGGAGAATCTGTGATATTGTTGTCTCATGCACACAATGACCACTTTTTGTCAAATGCTCCAGTAAAAGCTCTTTTCATGCTGAGCTAATCAAAATGAGCACAGCTGATCACAGTTGAAAGTCAAATGGCTTTGTGTGCCATTGAGAAGGTGATTAGCTGCACCTGATTGAATTTACAAGTCATTTTTAGGAGGGGGGTGATCCTTTTTCCAACTCGGATTCTGTTTTATTTTTTTCTGACATGTTGGTCTTATATCTTTCACTTGGATGTTATAAGTTGCACTGAGTAAATACAGCTGGATAAAACAAAAACTGTGTCTTAATTTCAGGCTGCAAAGCAACAAAATTTGATTATTTTAAAGGTGGGGGGGGGGTTCTTTTCTATATCCACTATACACCATGTAACCAGTAGTGAAACAATAAAGCATTAAGAGAGAAATCACATCTCTTCAGCACTGGTGAAATTTTAATGGTCCAATGTTTTGCTCCTCAAACATCAGTATTTTACTTTCAGTGAGGTGCCTGGTCTCTCTCTCTCTCTCTCTTTGTATATACAGTACATATAGTATAGTACATATAGTGCACAAGACACACTATAGCAATGTAATGAGAAACCAAAGTGTACCCAATTTGTGAAAACCGCTCCATACTGGAAATAATTTTTCTCTGCGTCTTGTCTTTGCTGCTCTATCCCTCTTTGTGTCTCCATTGTAATTAAGGTCCTGTCCACTGGGATGAATCGCAGGGAAGCAAAAGCAGGCTGAGGGACCAATTAGGTTTGCGTGAAGAAATTCCTTTTATGGATCACTGGAGTGCATCCCGTGCTCCTGTCTCACTGAGGGACATCATGATTGAAGAGCAGGTGATGCAAGACAGCATGGAGAAGGTAACGGTCACACGTGGGCACACACAACACATAATCACTGCCAAGAACTGCGAAAGCAAGTAGTGAGAATGAACTACGTTTGGGTTTTAGTCTAGGTCAAGTCTGAGGGACCTGGATAAGAAAGACGGTGCAGCCAAGTTGAAGGAGAACCAGCTGTTTTCCATGTTCCCCACCATAGACCGACATTTCCTCAGGGATATCTTCAGAGATCACAAGTGAGTATATTATACATAGTGATATTAGCAATAGTTTTATGTTTGTTCAGATCAAATTGGCTGTCTGGCCATTGAAAAGCCCAGTCGAAAGCAAAACCTGATTCTTAAAGGGACAGTTCACCCAAAATTCTGTCATCATTTATTCACTTTCAAGTTGTTCAAAACTTGTATGAGTTTCTTTCTTTTTCATTTTGAATAATGTTGGTAACCAAACAGTTGACGGTAGCCATTGACTTCCATGGTATTTTTTTCCATACTATGGAAGTCAGTGGCTACCATCAACTGTTTGGTTACTTTCTTCAAAATATCTTCTTTTGTGCTCAACGGAAGAAAGAAACTCATACAGGTTTGGGAACAACGTGAGGGTGAGCAAATGATGACAGAAATGTCATTTTTGGGTGAACTGTCCCTTTAACCCTGTGCCTGTAATAACTGTGCTGGAAGTCACTTTAGATTGACTACTTAATGATGGCAACATGCTTTCACAATGCATGTAATGATCATAATGTGAAACTGAATATTCAGTTGAAAATAATGCAAAATATTTATTTATTTTTGTCTACTGGATTGTAAAAGGTGGACATTCTAATACATTGTATGGGTCAAAATGATACATTTTTCTTTTATGCCAAAAATTATTAGGATATTAAGTAAAGATCATGTTCCATGAAGATATTTTGTAAATTTCCTACCATAAATATATCAAAACTGATTTTTGATTAGTAATATGCATTGCTAAGAACTTCATTTGGACAACTTTAAAGACGATTTTCTCAATATTTAGATTTTTTTGCACCCTCAGATTCCAGATTTTCAAATATTGTCCTATCATAACAAACCATACATCAATGAAAAGCTTATTCGTTCAGCTTTCATGTGATGTATAAATCTCAATTTCGAAAAATTGACACTTAAGATTGGTTTTGTGGTCCAGGGTCACATATGGGCTTTATAAGTACTAATACACAGTCAGTATGCAAGTAATATGCATGCTAGCTGATAGTGAGAATTGGTCCCTAAAAAAAAAACATTTGTTTTTTATCATTTGTTTTTAGAAAAAGATGTGCTGAGGAATTGTGCACAATAAGACGAGAAACAATAACTAAGAAAGCAGAAATAACCTGAAAGGAAATGTCTCCTGACCATCTGCTTGTGTTTGTGTAGTTACTCTCTGGAGCAGAGCGAACAGTTTTTGCATGCTCTGTTGGATGACGGGCCAGTCAGAAACGTAGTGGCTCCTGAACCTGCTCCTCAGCGTAATGGCGCGTTAGCCCAGGTAAGACACCTCTGACGTTGTCTGTGGTTCAGGAGAGGCTTAACAAGAGGAATAAAAAGATCGTATGAGTTATAAGCCATGAATCAAACCAGTCAACATATGAGGCTATATGTGTGTGTGTGTATATACAGTTGTGGTCAAAGTTTTACATACACTTTGCAGTATCTGCAAAATGTTAATTATTTTACCAAAATAAGAGGGATCATACAAAATGCATGTTATTTTTTATTTAGTACTGACCTGAATAAGATAAGATGTTTGTTTTGTGATAGTTGTTCACGAGTCCCTTGTCCTGAACAGTACGAAATGAAAAAAATATGATATTTAGGCAAAATAAGAAAAATGTACACATCTTCATTATTAAAAAAAACAAAAAAACAAACAGCTGTAACAAAACACAGTGTTAAGAATCAAGCGCATGTAAACATTTGAACGGGGTCAATTTTATAAATTCAACTATTATTTTCTCTTGTGGACTATATGTAAACATATTTTATGTGAAATATCTCATTCAGGTCAGTACTAAATAAAAAATAACATGCATTTGGTATGATCCCTCTTATTTTGGTAAAATAATTAACATTTTGCAGATACTGCAAAGTGTATGTAAAATTTTGACCACAAATGTATATTTATATCTATATGTGTGTGTGTGTGTGTGTGTATATATATATATATATTTTATGTATGTATGTGTATATATATATATATATCGCAATTGTCTGATTGTTGTAGAATGGGACAATCAGACAATGTGAAATGGCATTTTTATTTGCATAACCTGACTGACTGTTGCACTCTGTAGAAATCTAAATCATTTTTGCAATTTCACATCCCGGAATTGCTCATTCATAAACTGGAGAATTACTTGTTTCTCCAGATTCCTAGTTTCTTCTGCACCATTCTGGGGATTTTCAGACTTTCTATTGAATGAACTACTCATTCCACGAAGCATGAATTCCATCTCTTTCAGGATCCCTACATGTCGAGCATTATTTCCTAGATCTATTAGCAGGTGCTTTTTAAAAATGCATGCCGAGTGCAGTGCTGTTCTTGGATCAGAGCTCTTACTTATAAAGTTTCTTTGCACAATTTTGTGTATGCTTAGGGTCACACGCATGGGGAGAAGATGCGTGAAGCGAACCACCGAGCAGCCATGCAGATATTCCAGCAAGTGAATGCTTCACTCCTGCCTCAGAATATTCTAGATCTCCACGGACTGCATGTGGATGAGGCCCTTCATCATCTTAGTCAGGTTCTCACCGACAAAAATTTAGGTATGTGAACCACAAACATACAAAAGAACAGTTTTTCTAGTGTATGCAGCACAGTTGTGCAGGTGTGATGGATAATGTTTTGATTTCAGAGTCTGGCGTTGTCTTTAATGGCTGTGTCTTTTGTAGAATTGAGTCAGGGTTTGTGTCAGCCTCAGCTGTCAGTCATCACGGGAAGAGGCAATCGCAGCCAAGGAGGAGTGGCACGCATCAGGCCTGCTGTACTAGACTACCTCAAAAACCACCACTTCAGGTATACTGACTGCATCCAGCGCTCTTGCAATGTGTCTTTCTGAATGCTACATTGATTCACTACATGCTACTCTCATTCCATCGCTTGGAACGAAACATCTTTCAGTGTAGACACATTCTAGGTCCTGCCAATGAAGTATTAAGAATATTTGCACACACACTTCAGTCACACAGCTGGATCTGGCTATACTTTAGTTTGGGACCAATTCTCACTGTTATCTAACTATTAACTGCAACTCCGTAAACTCCTAATTAGATGCTTATTAATAGTTAGTAAGGTAGTTGGTAAGTTTAGGTATGGG